AGCCCGAGCCGCGACCACATGCCGCAGTATTTTCTGGCTGGTGTCTTTTAGGTTGTGAATCCCAGTGGCGATCTGTTCCATCTGTCATACGATCATACCAGTCAATAACTTTGTTGTTATTAGCCCATCTGGCTTACTAGCTGATGCTAACGAATATAAGCAACGCTCTTTTCTACACACCAGTGAGGTAAAGGGCCACCATCGTTTATAGATCATTATACGTTATAAAAAAAACAAGGATAATAAAGTAAACATGTATAAGCATACTTATTGAGCATGTAGCTAAATAAAAGTGTGGTTAACTAAACCAAGAATACAGTTGAAGGATAGTGATTGTAAAATATCCTAAGAAAAATAAATCTGCTTATCAGTTCTGTTTCATGATTCGGCTGTTGAGAGATCCTATCCATAGATCTCCTAATGTTGCTCCAAAGTGCCTCCAGATATGTTATGCCTTTAATCTTCAACAGTTTAAAGCCATGGCGGCCCCTGAACTGCCACTGGAGCGGAGGTGAAGCGTATCTCCCCCTAGAGGAGCGTGTAGGTCCGGCCCCCAGCTTAAATCATCACATGGATAGGAAACTAAATACTTTGGCACATCATCTTGTGCCTTTATTTGTATACTTTCTGCTTTTGGTGGTCATGCCCAACAACGTGCCACCGTGAATGCCCATGCTACGAGTCCATGTTTAAAATATCTGGATTAAGAGGTTGTTTTTCTTTGCAACAGCATGAAAGAAAGGCCGAAATGAATGGGCTGTGATTTTAGTCATTTTTAAGCAGAGGTTCAGATAATTTCGATGCGCCCTCGGAGGGATGTTGAAAAAATTGAATGGCCCTGAGATTGGTAAAAGGTTTCCCACCCCTGATGTAGGAGGACAGAGGCTTCAGAATGTGAGGATCACATTTCTGAGATATTCTGAAGTCTGACAGTGACCTTTGAAGAAGAGGATGAGATGAGCATCAGCTAAAGTTACAAAGAAAAGATGAGCCACAGGACCAAGCCGGGTCAGCCCGGGCAAAAACACGAGTAGCATTTATTCATTAATGTGATCTAACAAATGTAAAGGGAAATACACTGAAACAAGAAACTATAAACGCAAAACCTTTGTTTTTGCTCCCTTTTTCATGAGATGAACTCTAAAGATCTAAAATCATTTCTAATACTACACAAAATAACCTTTTCTCTCAAAATATTGTTCACAAATCTGGAAAAATCTGTGGATAGTGAGCACTTCTCCTTGCCGAGAATATAATCGCCATCCCACTCACAACAGTGTGGCATCAATTCAGATGCTGATTATGACGCATGATATTGCACAGGTGTGTGCCCTTAGGACTGGCCACAATAAAGGCCACTCTGAAAACGTGCATTTTTGCTCTCATAGGGTGGGTCTGGGGGGGCCGAAAGACCAGTTCAGTTAAACCTAAACCCTAACATGTCACCCATTGACGCATGATTGGGATTGGGTATCTGGATCGGCGTATACGACTGCGTGTTCCATTCCTGCCAAAATATCCAGCAACTTCGCACAGCCATTGAAGAGGAGTGGGAGCCAACATTCACACGCAGGCCACAATCAACAACCTGATCAACTCTATGCGAAGGAGATGGGGTGACTGTTAGGGTTAAGGTTTAACCCCTAGGGTTTTCGGA